AAACTTAACCAAAGCGGGTGAAAGTAAAAGAACAGAAAATGTAAGTTTGTGTAGTGCACATATTTCGTTGAGGTGGAGGCGAAATCACCCCTTTCAGTTTCGATCCCGTAGACTATTTTCCACACACGACAGTTAGAACAACAAAACCAGCAGGAACGAGAACCCATTCCTCGGTAAACTAGACAGCCTATAATGTAAAAAGCTCAGAAGCCCATAGATATCAGCAAATCCTAGCGCACGGGAAGCACATGACCTGGTAGTTAGGAAGGGCTGAACAAGTTAAGACCTAATGTGATGTAGCCCACGAGGCAAGAAATGGTGTCAACGTCCGGGAGAAACCGTAATCAACCTCCAGAAACAACGTTTCTTTACTTCTTATGGGGCTACCGAGACGATGCGTTAAAACAAATCACAAAGGGAAAAGCGCAACAAATGAAAGTTTAAGGCTACTCATTATTATTTCAGCGTACCTTAAGTTACGATTGGCCTAACGCCGCCAAGCATCAAAAGCAGTAACTGCATTACATCAGTCAGTTGGAGTAATGCTCAGCTGATGTACAACCACGACGACCTAAGAAACGAAGAATAATAATAGGAAGGGAAAAGCAACCTAGCATAAAAGCCCATTGCCACAAGCAAACATTCAGGGTCAAGGCACCTACATGCTGTCACAAACAGGTGACTATCGTGCAAAGATAAGGCGTCATCGGAGAGACAGCTTGCTTGAGACTTTTACTATCCCGTATAAAAACCAGCCATTACTCCACGGAGAACCTAACAAAAACACACTCTACGAGACGATAGCAGACAAGCCACTCGTGCCGACTGCGAGCCATGTCCTGTAACGTCTAGAACTAAGCGCAAAGCTAGGGAAGCGAGACAGCCCAACAGCACTAAGTTTTATAGTAAGTGACTTCATTAACTGTTGCCAAGTCAACATTTCCCAATCGAGTCTAGCGACACTCCACATCCGGACGATAAAACAAGGTCATCCTTGGTAATCCGTGACATAGCATAGGTAGCACGTGCCCAAATCAAAGCAACATGTTCGGCGCCATCTGAGGCTCAACATCGTTACGGACAAGATGGTGCCATCCGACACCAACAATGCACCGCAGGCTGCGATGATCAAAGACTTGAAAGCACCGCAGATCCTCGGATGGAAGGGGTCAATTCTCACTTCAATAGGTTAGGACGGCCGTCACTGTGGCTTTGTAAATGCGGCCTTCCAAACAGAGGGAAACACCTTCCTGAAGCCAAAGATGCCGAAGATTCAAGAAAGCAAATCTGGTTTTTACAATACACGAATCGATCTCAGTGCATATGCACCCATTGTCGCTGATGCAACTGACAAGGTAAGTGAATCGACCAACCACTTCGAGTTCACGCTATCAAGGGTCAAGGGGTCATTAAGCGACTGGTGGTCCTGCAACAACACTTTGTACTTCGAAGGCGCGAAGCGCATATCACATAGTGGGACCATTTTAGTTAAGCTGTTCAGGGTAGATTGTGCCGCTCCAATATCGCTAAACAGCGAAAGAATATGGTACGCATAATCAAGATCAACTAGCCTTTTACTTGATAGGACCTTGACGCCAGCATCGTGAGGCTCCGCAAGGGAACACTCCATGATGGCGTCCACGACGAAATTGAACAAAAATGTGTACTTAGACAATCCTGATGAAAGCCAATTATTGACGGAAAGCTGTCCGACAGATTATTGTAGACCCTGAAGAGCACAGCACATAAAATGTTCACATATTTCAGGGAAACACCTTACCGTAAAAGCATTTCGAACAGAATGCATCGATCGACTGAGTTCAAAGCATACTTGCTATCGAGGAACACAACCATTGTCGATTTGCGGTACGAGTGGAGCAGCTCTAGCTCCAGAGTGAATATGCAGTCCATACAGTTTCGCACTGCACGGAAACCTGTCTGCTTTTCTCTGATACTAGATTCCCGTTCCACAGTGAGGCGGTGAACGAGAAGTGTGGCCAGCAAAAATTTACAACTGGCGCTAAGCTAATTCCCCTGTGGTTAGCACAGTCGGTGCGACTGCCCCTTTAGTATATTGCCACTATGAGCAATTCACTCCATTTAGTCGGGATTGTGCCAACTTCTCAGACCTGGTCGAATATGGAGTTCAGTGCTTTGCAGATGACCTTACCACTGTCCTTAAACAGTGCAGATGACAGGGAATCCGGACTAGCGGCCCGAAAGCAATTAAGGGCTGTGGTCGAGTTTCGGATCTCAGCCTCCGGTGGAGCCTCTAAACTAATCGCCCATGATTCATCCTGCATCATCTAAGTAGGAAGGGGTCCAGAAGCAGGGGACCAACTGAACTGATCTTGAAAGTGCTGCACCAAACCAGCCACACAGGGCTTGTTATTGTGAATCGGAGCACCCGCGATGGCTCTGGTTGTGTCACTGACGCTTGGTTTCCTGGAACCAGGGTTGCGTATCAGCTGGAAGAGCTTGCGATAAATGCCTGCTACTCCATTCTCCTCAATTTGTTGAGCTCGAATGGCCACCCAATCTCCTTTGTCAGCACGCAGGCTCCGCCTTAGTTCGCGTATAATGATCGGACCAGTCACATAATAAGCAGATACAGCAGGGAGTTTTCTCTTGCATTCCAACATGTTCATCGACCTCTCAGAGATCTAGTGACAGGTGCGGTGACCAATTATAGTACCAGAACCAGATGCTCCTGGGTCGAGCATCGCGACCGAGATTCTGTTCCACTGAAGCCCAATGTCATTAATACGAGAGAGCGAAAGCTCGGTACGCAAGCCTTGTCTGACCGAGAACTGATGAGATAACTTCACGGTTGCCAGCCGATGGAGGCGCTTAGTACGCCTCCTGGTAAAGTTTATGGAAAAGCAACAGCGTGCCAAAACATGATCAGAGTCGACACAGGTATTCCAGAATGAACAGCAATCCAGCATAGAGCCACTCCACTTGTAACTTATAGCCGTGTTCAATTTGGGTCCATCGCTGGCCAGCTACAAGAGGACGCCAAGTGTCAATTCGGTGACAATTGTGTCTAAAAGCGGTGCTACTAAGAAACAACTGGTGCTCCGCACACAGTTGCAACAAACGCTCGGAGTTCATACCTACCACCTAGCTGAGCTTCCGAAAAGTTCGGACGACCTAGTTGGACATTCATAGCCCCTGCAACAACAATGATATTTTAACTGATGTCGCTGTGTAGCAGTGTTCAGTCCGCGGTAGAATGAGTCCTTGGCAGTAACAGAACTGGAGTCAGTGAAGGCACAAGCGGAAACCAAGTACGGCGTCCTGTACCACTTCGTGAATCAACCTCGGCCTGTGTCGTCAAACGGGCTGCATACAAACGGCTGTTCACCAGAATCCAATCAACCAACGATGACGCAGCCTTGGAGATGAGTACCATGCCTACTTCATCTTGACCAGAGGCTGCTGCATCAGTGTCTCCGGATGCGTGCAACCAGTAGCGACCGGACCAGCCGAGCGCAGTTAATTCAACGGCTCCATAAGGGTCATTAGTCCTGGTTTCTGATACGTATCACACGTCAATACCCAGTGTGTACAACGTGAGTGCGAATGCAGCCTGTTGACCGATTTGTCTTAGACTGCGAACGTTGAACGCCGTCAGGGAAATGGACAGTGTGGCCTTACAAGGGGCTGCTGCCGATAGGCGTCCATTAGGTGTCGCGCAAAGGTGACTGTAGTTGCTGCGACTCCAGTGGCACTTCGGTTGCTGTCAATTAAGCTGGCAATTATAGGAGGCAGGTTAGTATTGGGTGTCGAGATGGGAGTAAGAGAAAGAGGTGGAGAAGAAAGAATGGTGATGTCAGCATTAGCATGTTTTCGATTATCCACCCTGCTGTATGCAGCAGATAAGGCAGCCCTCGATAATCTGCGCGATCGCCGATTCAGGATGAAATTTGGGGAAATTGTCGTAGTTGTATGTGGGCTGAGACCGTCAGGGCGCCAAGACCAAGACAGGACGATTAGGGTCCTCAACCAAAGCCTTTGGCTCAAAAACCTGCCCGGAAGGCAGCGTGGAGGTGCTAATTGTTCAGTTTTACAGAAATGGACGGCATCCCATTTCAAACCCCCAACCTGGAGCACCAGGAGACTGAGTTTGTCTGACTTCTAACCATTGACCAACCTGTTAGGAGTAGCTTCCAAGGAGCCCGGAGGCACCACCTAGTATAGCACAAGGGGTCAAGGAGGTATGAAAACCGTCGCATCACGTTAAAGACCAGTCTTGTTGTGACAGTTAATACTGTCAAGGGGTATAGGGATAACAATGCAGGTACCGATTATGAACGACGCTGAAAACCGTTTACAGAATGGGTACAGGGTGCTCAGAGACATACGTAAGGGGGAATTTCGACTCCGATGAGTTAGAATGGCCGTGTTCACAGCTAGAAGTAGACCGAAGTCCAAGAGTCGCAACAAAGAGAAACGGACAGATATGCAGTTGGACATTGATAACCGAGGCACAAACCTAGATACCCTTAGCTTAAAACGCTATCGGATGACCAGCGACTAAGAGACTTAGGAAACAAAACACTGAGGCAAATTCTGTCCTATACAGGTGAATGTGAGGCATAGCAGTGGAGGGTGAGCCGCCCTATATAGCAGCTGAACCAAATCAAGTACAGACTGTGAGTCATTCAGGCCGATATCAAACAGTGAAATAAACCTCTGACTGTTCGGCTAACTTGAGACGGAATCAAGATTCAAAACGGTGCGTACGACACACGGCAAACGGATATCGTCATGTAATCGTCTTCCTAGTTGTTATTGTCTTCTAGTTACCATATCCAAGTCTATTATTAGCAATAATACTATCATTATGGCAACACAAGTGAATGCATGCAGGCGCAGGAGCAATTTCGGTGCCTGAAGCATATAGCTGACAGTGCACTGGGTAGATAACCTAGAGAGCTAGATTAGCAGGTAGTCGGGAATACAGATGTCGCATGGAAATTCACACATCCACGTACCACTGTATTGCAATTGGGGTCAAGCAAAACACCAACCAGAGAATCCAAAGAGTCCAGGCGAAGGTTCTCTGTCGCTGGCTCTTTCGACGAGAACGGAATGGAGGTCTGTGACACCACTGTTTGCGGAGGTGTGACAGAGATAGTGTGAGGGTTTTTGGATGCATCGCTTGCTTGATTCTCATTGGGAACCGATGGCGCATTGAGCGTCAGTTGAAAGTCAAATAAAGTAAACGCAAACGGTTCCGCATCATTATTCGTGTTGAGTTTTCCTCGCAGTCGATAAGGCAGGTCCGTGCATCCGATACGAAGTCCGAGAATTACTGCACTGCAAGTCAAGAATTTAAAGAGGTGAGTGATGCAAATAGCATAGCAACTGTCGATTTAGAAAGGACGAGAATGAAAAACGAGATAAGTGAGGAAGAGAAAATGACCAACCCAGACGCACAATCGTAACAACAAAATGGGTGGATGTCGACCAATATTGGCGAACGGTTACAACTGGCGCGAAATGCATCCCATAAACGAAACTCATGCATTGTCGGGCTTTGTAGCACCTACTGTGTGTCTTGGATTGCGACAGTCAATCACAATCGTGGTCCCAGTTGACTTTAAAACCAGCATCTACCATTCCGATCACTGGGACCATAATGAAAGTGGAAGGTTTCGGTGTAGCTCTATCCCATCAGTGCACTCTGCGACGAGTTTCGTCCTAGTATGGACTCATCAGGTAATGATAGCTTGGGCTGGGAGTGGAACTCGGCGCAGAAGCTGGTAGTTATCGCCAAGGCACACAGGGCGTGCTATAAAACCCGACAATCAAATTCTAGCCGCTGTGTCAAGCGCTGCTCCATGAGCTCAGTCGCCCAGTGATCCTGACGATGGATGTCAACCACCACTATGTGCCGAATTACACATCAAGCTCAAATTTTCTCAACCGGATGATTCCAAACAAGGATGAAACGTATTGTGAAGTGCAGTGATGGTAGAGAAGACATCAAAACCCTTAACCAAAACGCAAGTAGTTTGTCGGAGCACCAAATCCCAGTGGACTGTGCAATACTGTTCGGGTGGAGACTGCAAAAGGCCATAGAGACATAACATCAGTTGTATCGGAACCGATGGAATGGAAGTGAATTAACAATTGCAAGCGACAGTGCGAAGTGAGCGATACTGTTGAGTGTTACCAAAAGAGGATAAATATTTGCGTTTTACACTCAACAACGAAAAGCCTGATGACATAAAAGAGCAACAAGTAGACAGCACGTGTCTAGGAAGAAATTAGTCCAGTAGGAATGCGTTCACGTTTGGAGAGTCCGTCTGGACCGTTGATCTATTTGACGTTTAAGCTAAAGACAGGTGGGATATGACAGATCACGCATTACTGAAGCATAGCAGATGTTTAAAATTGTAGAGAACCCATACAGCTAATGAAGGATTGACGGCGATTCTCAATTGGTTTCATGAAAACAGGATGCATCATAGTAAAGGCTGTTTGAATAATGCCTACTGACTGGCATCCTCAATGCCCAAAAGGGTTACAAGAAATGCGCCAAACATCGACCAATTACTCAATCTCTGACATTAATTTACCATCTCATGAGTATCACAAATCAGCTAGTGAATGAACCGTCAGCTTGTCGACTTGGAGAAACATCGGAACGCTTCAGATAACTAGGCTGAATGGCGGCTGCAGCCCCGCCCAAGATGAGGTGTTTGTGAGAGATATCAATCAAATGAGTAGCTTTACAGTCTGAGCCGGGAGAAGTGTAGAATTTAGTCCCGTCGGACACAGTCGTTTGTGGAAAGGCATGTTACTAGGGTCGGGGGGCTCTTCACATCTATCCGTGTGCAGAAAACAAGAAAATAAAGGTTTTCGCAATCGACCTGTTTACGGAAAGAAAAATGCGGAATATCGAAGCGTATTTATCTCGCCAACTTTCAAACTCTTCGTCAAAGCGCATAGGGAGAAATTCAAGTTGATGACTTCGTCGGTTGACAGAACAGGTTTTCTGAAGACAAACATCCTGTGGTAGAACATGTGTTGGTGAAAAATCTAACACAGACTGCTTCCCACCTTGGTAGATGTAGCCAATTCGAACTGCGGACTACTAACTCCGGACCGCGTTGAGACTAGCTGTACCCAGGAATGTCGAAGAAGCCTTTAAGTAGGTCGATCGATTCCCCTGCGACTGTTGATGTGTGTATAATATAGGACCACGTGAAATCATAAATGAGGAAGATGAAGGGAAGAAATCAGTTTTTAATTCAAGCGCCCGGTGTGAAATTCATTAGAGATAGCGGCGATATCGTCAGATCGATCGCCTGGGAGCAGCTCCACATCTTCCTACTCGTGCCCAGTAAATACAGTTTGCATAACCTCGCCAATATATAGTTTGCAGAGGGAAGGTGACACGGGGTATCATTGTGTCAAACAGCTGAAAACATCGAAGGGCGGAGATTGTATTGCATAAGCCTTCACTCTATCCGAACTATGCACGTAAAGTGGCCCGATAATGTTCACGTATTTCTCGGGCACACCTTCTTTAATCAGACAGTCCCAAAGAGTAGATCGATTCACCGAGCCAAGAACAATTTTGTAGCCTAGGAACACAGTGAAAGTGGGCCGCTAGTATAGGTGGCGGTATTAGAACAATTAAAATGAAGGTGTGGCTAATGTGCCCTCGACTCTAACAAAACCCGGTTAGCTCTTCACGAACCTGGCCTTCAATGGTGTCAGCCAGTCTACTAATAACGTCGGAGACTAGTCACTCAAAAGCGATGGGAAGTGGATTTATACCCCTATGACTACCGAATCCCGGACGTGTGCTCCTTTGAAAATTTGAATTATAACACTGAAACTCTAATCTCTTTGGATGAGTTCTGGTTGCTACAGTTTTTCTAAAAAATCGTGCAAATAATCCACAAGAGTTGCTACTCCGAATTGGAAGAAAGCTGGAGCAGGTCAATTTGGCTCGGCGACTCTATGCAATTCCAACAGTTCGATCCAATGTTGGTTCTGTGGAAAATAATAGGCTTAGGGGAACGGCCCAAGAAACAGGACAATCATTGGTCGATGAGGAAGCTGATTAGACTTATTGTCAAAATGCTAAGCCTAAAGCTCTAAGTCTGTTGCATCCTCTAGCCGTGAACAGATTCGCAATCCGGTAGAAGTGTGGATACATATCCATCAGAGATCAGCTAGAAGGCGCTAATAAAACAGATAGAGAAGGAATAAAGAATCATACCCTATAAAAAGCGCGATTCCAAAGACTGCAACAAATAAGGTAGATAATAGACTAAAGTGGAATACAACAGCAAAGAAGCACTCACTTGGTACGTTGGAAAGCGGACACGCTGAGCTGCATGACCAACGGCTTGATTATTCGCACCGGAAGGCGAAGCATATAACCAAATGGCATCGATATGGCAAACTAGACCAAGAGGAAACGGATTGAGTGAAACCATGTGGTAACACCGACATATATGCTGATGCATAACAAATGAATAACTCGTGGTGAAGGAATCACGTGAGGAGGGAGGTGGTAGTATTTTCTGACCGAGTGCTATCGTGTTATACGTGTAACACAATAAATTGGGACTCGAAATGTGAGAACTCAGTTGGTAATCGTTTTCGGAATCGAATATTTGAGAAAGGCATACCCAACGATCGCTTGCACTGCCGCACTGAGTTCGCTTCCAATATGTGTTCCGGAAAACCGTACTACTCGCCGTTCCAAGCACAGGGGGTGCGAAACTCGCTTCAGATCAGGAACCACAAGCTTGTACTGGTGTCGGCGTGCGTTGTAAGGCGTTTGCAAGTGGAGCAGTGGCCTCAGGATAAGAAAGTCACTTAGACGTACAATCCGCTAGGTCGTGATGAGGTTGATTCGCACCCGACGATGGGCTAAGGTGTACAGTCACAGCATCTCGCACCTGCCTTCGTAGGGTAAGCTTCGCAAACTGAGGATGAGTCTAGTGGTGACGTGTTGAACCCGTTCAATCTTCTGCGCCTTGCCACGAGTGGTCGAGCAATAGGATGACGAGCCGTACTGTAGAACTGGTCTGATGATGAAAGAGAAGAGACCAGACCAGAGGCAGAAGCTGCGTTTGAGAGCCCACAGTATGCGCAATCCGTTACGATATAGCTTGTTCGCGTTGTCAACGGACTTCAAATCGCAACGTGAGAGTACTCATAGGCCTTTCACGGAAGGTGTGGGATGTAGCAGTTGGTCGTCGAGAGTGTAGGTTCGGCCGTCACCACCATTCCACAGGCTCATGCATACCGAGTTGGATGGATTGATCGGAAGGCGGACTTCTACAGACCACATAGAAAGGTGGCTTAGGTTTTGTTGAAGAAAGCCGCAGTAGTCAGAAGTGCCTATCAGTCTCCGCATCTTCAGGTTGTCTACAGACAGGGCACACAATGACTGAAGAAGTTGAGAGGGTTTATTGATATAAATCAGAAACAATGTACGCTCCAACACAGTGCATTGGGGTACGACACTGGTCGAGGGACATTAGTCGATCAGATGGCTATCGACTTGTACCCTCCACATTCGTACAACGAGAAAATCGCGGATCCAGTGGTGCAGTGATCCACCAACACCGAGTACACTCATCATGAGGAGCAGGACCTCATGGTTCACCTTGTCGAACGCTGTGCTGAAATTAAGGTAGACCACGTCGACAGACTTCTACTGGTCCAGTGCTAGCAACCACACTTGCCTCACCAAGAGCAGGTTGGTGATGCATGAACGGCCTGGCATGAAACCGTGCTGTGCTGCGTCAGATCTTTCGACCGGAACAGCTGTCGTAAACCGTTCTTCACATCGCTTTCAGCAACCTTGGACAAAATAAGTGTCAAACAAATCGGCCTATAGTTGTCTACTTTGCGGGGGTTACCACCGTTCGAAATCGGCCTTAACATCGAGCATTTCCAATTAATCGGCAACGAACCATTGGACAATGACTAGTTGAATAGGTCACCTACAGCAGGTGAGATGATGACAGACAAGGATTTGAGAATCAGGCCCAGCAGGTTTGGCGCCGTCAAGTTTGGCGGGTAGTTGAGGTACCACAATCCAAATTGTCGAGTGTGATACACGTCGAACTCGGTACAGACACTAGGCCAGGTACAAACACTGAAGTGCGTCGCCAATGTGGACTCACGCTCAGTGCTGGAGGTTAGGGGGTGTCCGTCCGAGCGTTCTATCACCTACGTCACCCGCCGGCTTCAAGGGTGTGCTGAATCCATGGTACTTTACGGAGCGAAAGGAGTCCTAACCACTGATTCGACCACCAGCTCACAACTGGTTGCGGTGCACACATCGCCCCGCTGCCTTACGGGTTAGATTCTTGATCGAATGCTCGGGGTAGGGCCTCCTAAAGTCAACCCTAATGCGGCTTGGGCAACCGGGTCGCACCTCACAAGAGTAACACTCAAACTCCTGGTGTTCGATTTTCGGTGATCACAGCCTTATCACATTCTAGCGAAGCCCCAGATTTTCCCCGACCTGGTTCTTCATTCGGAATAGCAGCATTAAATGTTTGCACTTTGATGCAGATCGGATGACAAACTTGCCTCGCCCGCACTCTTGAGACGCTATCGGCAGACATCCGTTACCTTACAGAAACCAGACTGCGAGACTTTAACACAGATCATCAAACCCTGACGTCATTTCCTACTTGCGCATTTCCGGGGACCCAGAGGTTGCCGCTTCTGAGGTCATACTGTGTGACAGCTGAGATCGCTCTGCTTGACGGGATCCCAGTCAGGCAGCGACGTTTATGTAAGATAAGCAAGTATCGTGATGTTAAGCATGTCTTAACTATCGTCTCTGTCCACGCTCCTACGCACTGCAACGAGGACGGTCCAAGACTGCTTTAAGCAACAACTACATGACCTTCTACGTTTCTTCAAAATGACTGGCATTGTCATTCTTGCAAGAGATTGTGACGCACGAGTTGGCCGCCTGCCTCCAACTGAGCACCATCTTGGAAGTAGTAGTTCTGGCCTCATGATGTTGCTCTAGCACCCGCTGTGTAGTAAGGATCTGGCTTACACAATCTAATCCAACGCAAATTCGCCCGTTCTTCTTTCGTCTAATAGTGCAGGTACCCAATAAGGCGAGATATGAGGATGGAGACCGGTAATTTTGTCACTGACATCAACTCCAAGTGTTCAAAACGAAAAGTAATGTTCAAAGAAAATTCTACCCAAACAGATACACTAAGATCTGGAACAGACTCCCTATTGAAATAAGGGCATGCGAGCCGCAAGCAGTGTTTAGAAGAACAGTTTCAAACTGCCTGACGGTGAAATACGTAAAAAAACAATGTTGCAACTAAATAACAACGACAAAAATGCTATTTGAGGAGGAGGCGGAGAGGTAAGTACGTTGAATTCAAATAGATGCCGTGTGCTACGTACAATGTATGTACTTGGTCAAGCCCTCCTAAAGTGGTGCATAGAAAAATGACAAAAAGCTGACAGAGCCCCCCATCACCCTTCTCCACCCTACCTTCTTTCTATCTTTACTCTGGAAAACATACCTCACAGACACATCAAAAAGTGTGAGCTGCAGAGGAAGAGCAAAGTGAGATCGTGCTAACCATAATTTTTATCAACTCTTCATATTCTGCTTGTTGAGCCATGCCTACATTACTGCCATTCTAAAAAGTGTGGACTGAGAAGGGAACGCTGACTGAATCTATCCATCTTCATTCACTTTTATCATTCGCTTTTCTCTTACTTGGGTATGGATCTATTGTTGTCCTCATGTAGATACATCAGGCAGTAAGGTGAAGCTAACCGATTCTGCTTCCAACATCTTCATCCCGATTTCTAATAGGGTACAGTCAAACCAAAACACCTGAGTCAAGTGGCCAATGCTAACCACGTCCGCCAGACACATAAAGAATAAATCTCCTATTCTATCTGTCTCGGTCCATATGTACAGTCGTTGAAGTGAAAATGAATAAATACCTCCGTCTTGCACTAGTACTTTTTAAAACGTCACAATATATAAAAATATTTAACCTAAATTAGATGCTATGTTATTTAAGTATGCTTTCAGCTTTAAAGTTTCTCCGACCACCACAGAATTGCTCCTCATCCTTTATCAAAGGGAAAGAAAACTTGGTTCCGTCCGTACATGGAGCTCTCTCCGTCAGGATGCAAGAACTATTCGTGCTGAAACAAGGCTTTGAACTGCGAAAACCTGGAGGTTAAAAACACGATCATTGTTTCTGCTTGACATTTGGAATAATCTGTAAATATCAGATGAAACAATGGTAAAAATTAGATCACATCGAAAAAGGCATGTCTCATAAACAGGAAAATATACATTAGTGTCTATTATTACGATTATTATTATTATTATTGTAGTTAGTACACACGAGGTGACCGTAATTCGTCCATATTGTCATTTTGATCGACTGCCTCGGCTAACTTGGATGTCTTTTCCTTACATACTTGTTGGAGCTTAGCGCCTGCAACTGGGTCCTTAATAGAGCTAGCGTGTTGCAGTCATAGTGGCTGTCCTCGGCCGCACTGGAATTGCAGTTAGCTACGGTGTGGTGCGCTATCAGTGAATGATATGAGGAGAACGGACTTGCGTGACGGAATTGGGGACGCATAGTGCACATCCCACTATCACCGATACGGGTGTGGAACGGAAAGAATCAATGAAGGACACACGGTGGGAGGAAGACGCGCAACAGAGCGAAGAGGCACAGTGACACCACGGATGATGAGTGCAAATGAGCATAGTGGTCACATGTTAGGTCGCTGTACTACACAAACTTGCGTTATCGTAATAAGAGACGCACCGGGCTCAGGGAAAGGGCAGTTAGTAAGCGCGAGCAAACAGCACCTATTGTTGAGAATGCATGGTATTTCGCATCAGCTGTATTAACGAAGGAAGCACTGACTTCCCACCAAAACGGACCGCATCCTGTTGCTGAGTCCGTGAGAAGACAAGCCAATGCAGTAGTTCCACATATCAGCTAGATAAAAATACTCGAAAATTTAACAGATTTAACCTCGTTTTTTATCATCATCTCGAAAGAGTCACAAAGTCCGGGCTTCATCATAGACCAACCCACAATGAACTGTGTCCTAGAGTTGATTGTAAATTCATAGTCTGCCAAAAACTGGAATTCCTTAATTGTGGTACACTCATTAAAAAGTGACTTGGAGTTGCCCTCATTGAGAGAACAAAAAACAACCGCTTTCACAAAAGTACGACATGTCCACAGTAGATCCGGCAGGCCAAAAACCCCTGCGTCAACCAACGGGGCACCATTAAATTCGAGCATCTTTACGGAGTTGGGATAGTGCTCAATCATAAACTGTCTCCTCATCACCGTTTCAATGGCCAAGAGGAGTGAGCCCTGTACAGTATGAAGCACATCCTTTTTAAATCAATGCAGAGGGTTGTAGGAAGCAATTTATGAGTGTATTTAACCGTATCGGTTCGCATCGAACCCAGAGGTACTGTGTTTTCTGGTTAAAGCCCTGATGAACAGTGAGCTCGGGATGCCAGCTGATGCCATTCGGTTAGCTTTAAGATTCATGTGGCGACAGGATTTGGACCTGCATCACAGTGGGAGGCAGTGATCAGCTATCACCAGTTAGTCGATGTTTGCGCGCAAATGCCAAATACGCCATACCGCGTGGAACACATGCAGGTAGAGCAATTTCATTTATGGTGTTCTTCCAGGGGATCAGAACTTGGCGCCGATATGCAAACTAGCCTCAACCGAAGTTCCCCAAACGAGAATACGGAAAGCCGGTCGAGCTACCACTTGACACCGAGGTGGACACATCTGAGTTAACGAAGGATGCAGTGAAAGCCGAGAAACAAGCCCATCCCCCAAAACTCCTTTAAATCAAGGCGCTGGACGGAACAAAGAATAACATCCCTTCGAGGTTGCAAAACAACTTAAGGTCTACTTAGACACGGCGTTAATCACATAAGGTGAGGAGGTATTAGAATGAAATGAACTCTACTAAAAAACCTGCGGGTGCAAGTAAGGATCATTTAGCTCTTTCAGGAAAGTGGCGAAAACATGTTTAGTGAAGTTGTAGTAGACATTCTCTTAAATAGCTACTCGAACTAAGCGAATATACAAATGGATCAAGGAATACAGCTGTTGCGCTAGCACCACTGTTCCTCAGAATGGATTATGTTCAGGGTGGCAGTGTAATGTGACATCCGCGGATGGCTGAACAGAGTACATTGCGCAGATTGGAAATGCCAGCACAGCATCACACACTCACACGGATGGGTGCATTCGTGTAGCGTTGTGTCAAGCTTTCTTCCAGTCTGTTTCACGTAGTAGTTGTTACAGTTCCTGCAGCTGAGCTTATAAATCACACCAGCTGTTTCATCCTTGCTAAATTTGTCTTTCACTTTGAAGAGTTTACCACAAATTGCCTCCATTGGTGGATGTGCGCCTTAGACTCCAAACCACAATAAAAATCTCGCTGTCATTTCAGAGATTCCGTTGATATAAGGCAACGTGCCTCTCTTTTCAAATGTTACATTTGACGAGGTGTGCTGTGGTACCAGGCAGCGTAGAATGAAGACTTCCGGGTACGAGTTCCGCTTGAACAAACTGAAGAGATGTTTCTCCTTCGACCACCTCAGCTCCTGTGTTACAGTGTGTTTGTGCTAATGCTACGTTGCTTGGCACTACAAAACGCCCCATAACATACCGCAACACAACGGTTGAAAAGTGGGCCATGTTGCCTTATATCAATGGAATCTTTCAAATGGAGTCAAAGTTGCACACCAACCGAGACATTTCGTAGTACTCTTCAAAAGGAAAGATAAACTTGGTAAGGAGGAAACAAGTGGTGTGATTCATAAGACCTGCTGCCGAAACTGTAACAAATACTATGTGGGACAGATTGCAAGAAAGCTTGACACAAAGCTACACGAACACAGCCTAGCGACTCATCGCCAAGAGCAGGCCTCTCTGATATGCATGCATTTGGATGTTGAGAATCACCAACATCCTCGGAAGGGCTAAAAGTCGGCAAGCACGCGAGTTCATTTAAGACTGGCATTCAAAGTAGAACTCGGACGATAAGCGCTTGGACCTCGAAGCCGCAATGATCATGTTACCTAGTCTAACAACGAAACGACTGCAAATCAATCGCCCAGCTCAGGGAACAACTCAAAATTCACTTGGAACTGGTATTTAGTTATAGGTAAATAAGATGATGGATTCGTCGACACATGCTCATTCTTTGATTGATCACCTTGCGCTTCTTATACTGTCCATTCTAAGGAACTTGTTAAGTATTAGGTCTCCTGTTTGTCACGAACTATGGCTGTATTGTCTATTAAATTCAGCACCCAATAAAGAAATGTGCACCATAGCGAAATACCCATAAATGGTTATTAGCATAGTGGTCCGTATTCGTTGATGTGCACAAAGGCAACGCATGAAAAGCGAACGAAAGCAATCACAGGCAACCTGAACACCAGTGAAGTATTACCTCGTCCATTTCCGTAAGCACGGTGAGAAGCAAGGGACGGTCCATTTGCAACTGAGCTCCAACAGAAAAATACTCCTCCTGTGGACAGTCAACGAGGTGAAGAGACTCGCCACACAAATCGACTGGACCATCAAGATGAGTGTAATTGGGATCAATGGATCCGTCGGAGTATTGCCCGTCCGAAGATTCGCCCCCATCGACCACCACAGTAGCATGTTTCGTGAGTGGATTGACTGTATACTCACTAAAACCGCGAATCTTGCGCACTGGCTCTGTGGCAGCGTGTCGTGGTGACGAATGAGCACACGTCCCTGTACGCACACTTCGATAGAGAGTAATCGGAGAACAACATCGGGCTGGCAACCCCAGTTTGCCTAGTTTCATGTCGAACAAAATGGGTTGTTTCAAACCCAAAATGACTGGCAAAAAGAGGTTACAAAAAAGACGAGAGTTGGAGGTGAGCGTCAACTATGCCGATAAAACACTTCATCAAGGATGTTTCAATTCCAGTGCAAAGAAGTTGAGACAGACGACTCCAAGCCCACTAAAAAAGGTATCAATATCTGGATGGTAACAAAAAATTCCTACAACGCCAATGATTAGCAGAAAGTGCTGGGCATGGTGTCTATCTGAAAGACCATCACTGCGTGCACAACCTTACAGGTTCAAACATGATTCCGAATACTGCAGAACGAGACCAATAGATCATTCAACGCAGACAAAAAAGGAAACTATCACGATTTTCAATTGTAGAGCCTCAACTAAGATATGAAGACCATGATGTCTCCAAAAAGCATACACAATGTCTTAGAATTGCTTATTTGTGCTGCCGCTAGGAAACGGAAATCCAGATTTCCGTAAGCCGCCCTGCCGACTCAACCTCATTGGGCGCGAGTACCAAATCGCACCAAAAGTAAAGTTCTACTCGGTCAAAATATACGACCACCCCTCCCCACGAAATTCATGCACCAGGAATTATTCACTTGTTATACAGCAACATGTATTATACTATTACAAGACTATATCCGTCTCTTCTTTGTCTAGTTTGCCATTTGGTGATGTGCATCGCCTTCCGGTGCGAATACTCTAGCTGTTGGTCATGCAGCTCAGCGTGACAGCTTTCCAACGGATCAAGTGAGTGGCTTCTTGTGTTTGTTGCCACATCAGACTGTGATTTGTATCGCCCTTGGAGCCAGAAGCAGATGGGCGCAGTCAAAACATAGGTCAAGGAGCAAAACAACTGGGGTCCAATGAGTCGACCAGATCACATTCCCACATACGGACCGCTTATTTGAAATGATGCATCTCCGGTAGAGAAAACTGCTTAGCCTCGTTAAGTCAAGCGATCGTGCTGTGTGCTATACTATGTACTAATGAGTAAAACAAGAAGTCGATGCTTCCCGTGAGTCAATAAATTGAAGAAAGTGTAAAGTAAGAGGGAGGTGGCAACTTGATGCTGGATGCGTGCACATGCGAGGGTTGCCTGATGTCTTAATGCCGATTGGTAAAAACTGCTAAGTCTAATTATGCTACTCGGAAGAACAATGACCATAGATGGTCATGATGTATAATGATGACCATTGATGGAATACCGTGCAGAGATCAGGGAGAAGTGTTTGGGAAAAGGAATTGTTACTGCCAACATACGATATAACAGATCAACAATGAAGCAAGGTAAGTGGTAACGTCGACGGATGATGATGAGATAGTGCGTGAACAGCATCGCCACTACGGAAACGCCAATACTTTGTACATGTGCATCATTGAGAAACAATCTATTGGCTAAGGAAATAGATGCGAAAGTGAAGAGGCATTCGAAGAAACAGACAAACATTCAGAGCTCAGGCCTTAAGAGCACCCCGAAACCATGTAAGAATCATACATCAGCGAAACACCATCGGTGCAGATAAACGCTAGGTGCTGCCAGTTAAAAACCACTGCACTCCACGACCGATTCCGTATTGTTTAGGCACTTGTCAGGCAACCAGATAGCATGACTGCGGGCTCAAACTTAGGACCTGGGGTGACGGTCGAAGGCTGTACCTAGAGGCTACCAAGCAGGCAACACCTAGCATTGATTCATTTGCTTCAGATGCGGTCCCAGTGACCGAATCAACCAGGCATCAATCCAATGTTAATCGCGACCCCAGAAGGATTAAGCAGTAATCCGTTCGTACACGGGCCTCAGAATGATCCCTTCAATCATATTCCGTGCCACTTCAATTGCCTTGATGTATTATTAACCTTACGTAGAGGACGAATTGGTAATGTACACACCATAGGGAATCCGGACAGGAGAAGATGGCAAATAAGTCACTACCATCAGTAATGTGTATTATTCAGTGGCATCTGGAGACACAGCAGGATGGGTCACATAGACTCTAAAGTGGAAAGCAAGGAAAAACCACGGCATCCACTCCAAAATATAGGACTTGCTTGCGGCCAAGTCACGCACCCAACCAGCGGCAAAAGATGAAAAATTTTTCTGGAGTGGTGCTAAGTAACAGCGCCAGAGACACCACTAAGCAGTGCTACCAGTTCAGATATTATAGTAGTTGCAGGAGATATGAACGCACAAGTAAGGCGTCTGAGCTCTTCAGAAGCTATGGTAGGTGGTAAAGAAGGGCTTAACTAAGAACGGACCGACGACGAGCGTCTACTGCAACTGTGTGCGGAGCACTAGTTGTTTCCTAGTAGCACCGCTCTTAGACAAAGTGGGCGCCGAAGTGTCATTTGGCGTCCTCCTGTAGCTGGCCAGTGATGGACCCAAATTGACCACATTGCCATAAGTTACAGGTAGCGTGGTTTTCATGTTGGGTTGCTTCTCGTACTGGAATGCGTGCGTGGACTCTGATCATGCCTATGTACGCTGTCCTTTCTCTATAACCTATACCGGAAGACGCACCAAGCATCTCCCCAGATTAGCAACTGAAACATTGCCTCAGCCTTCGGTCAGGCAAACCTGTCAAGACGCAGTGTTCACAGAACTTTCGCTGTCTTGTTCTAATGACACTGAGCTTCAGTAGAATAGGATCTCGGCCTTCACGCAAGACGCAGGAGCATCTGCTGGTGGCGTTATCTGTTGTCACCACACTTGCCACTGAATATCCGAGAGGTCGCTGATGCCGTTGGAATGCAGAAGAAAACACCCGGCTGCCTCTGAGCACAATGTGACCAGACGGACTATTAGGCAGAAACTAAAGCGGAGCCTGTATGCTGAAAAGGAAGCTTGGTGGACTAGTCGCGCCCAAGAAATGGGGGAGGCGGGAGCGATAGACAACTATCGCAAGCTGTTCCAGCTGATCCGCGTCACTGTTCCCAGGAAACCAGGGGTCAGTGAGAGAGAGACAGCGCAGGGGCAACTGATACACAATAAGGAACGCCGTATGGGTAGTTCGGTGGGGCACTTGCAAGATCAGTTCAATTGGTCCCCTGCTTCTGAGCCCCTTGCTACTCAGTTGATGCAGGATGAACCAAACACAGTAGTTTATAGGCTCCATCGGAGGCTGAGGTCCGAAACTCGAGCACAGCCCTTAATCGACTTCATGCCGCTGGCCCGGATTCCCTCTCACCTGCACCATTTAAAGATAGAAGTAAGGTCGTCCGCAATGCCCCGAACTCCATATTCGACCAGATCTGAGAAGCTGAGACAATCCCGACTAACTGGAGTGAATTGATCATAGTGGCAATATACTAAAGGGGCAGTCGCACCGACTGTGCTAACCACAGTGGAATTAGCTTGGCGCCAGTTGTAAAATTTTGCTGGCCTCACTTCTCGTTCGCCGCCTCACTGCGGAACGGGAATCCAGCATTCGGGAAGAGCAGGTAGGTTTCCATCCAGGACGGAACTGTAGCAGATGCCAGAGCAGCATCACGCATACCGCAGGCCAACAATAGCTGTGTTCCTCAATGTCAAGAATGTGTCTAACTCAGTCGATCGATGCATTCGGTTCGAAATACTTGCGCGGAAAGATGATCCCATGAAATAAGTGAACATTTTACGTGCTCTATACTCGAACATTACAAGTAACGTCAGCATCTACGGCGATCTGTCAGGTAGCTTTCGGATAATAATGGTGTTCGTCAAGGTTGCATAATTCCCCATATTCGTTACATATCGTCGTGGCCTCCATCATGGAGTGTTCGCTTACGGAGCCCCACAATGCTGGCGTTGAGGTCTGTCTGGTGAAAGATTAGTTGATCTGGATTATGCGATCGATATCGTCTTGCTGTTTAATGATGTTGGGGCGGACCATCATCATCACCAACAGCAGTACATCAGCCACTTGAACTGATGCCTCGCTGCCATACAACCATGAGGACCTATAAAATAAAGAATAAGAAGAGGGAGAGAAGGTGGACTTACCTGAAAACCTTAATGCCCTAAGCAAACACTCAGGGTCAAGGCGCCTACACCTTGTGTAGTCAACATAGCGTCACAAACAGCTGACTATCGTGCAAAGATAAGGCGGCATCGGCGAGACAGCTTCCTTGCGGCTTTCACTGCCACGCGTCATAATCAGCCATAACCCCGCAGATAACTCAGCACCAAACACACTTTAAACAGGCAATCCGATTAGGAGACGGCAGCAGACGCGCCACTGGTGTCGGTTGCGAGCCAAGTCCTGTAAAGTCTCGAGCCAAGCACAAAGTGAGTCACGTGGACTCCAGCCCGGAAGGCGAGACGGACCAACGGCACCCAGTTTGGTCGTCAGTGACTTCATTTCCCGCTGCCAAGTCAACTTCTGTCCACCTCGAGCCTTGCGCCACCCTACACCTGGCAGGCTAAAGAAGGCCCTCATAGGTAAGCGGTGACCAGGCATACGTAGCACGTGTCCAAGCCAACACAAATTCAGTGCTATCTCTTGTTCTAAGAAACTAGCATGATTATCACCACATAGTACTCGCCTACGCATATCATCGTTGCGGACACGCTGATGCCATCCGACACCAGCAATGCTTCGCAGACAACGTTGATCAAAGATTTGAAGGAGCCTCAGATCTTCAGACCGAAGGGGCCAAGTCTCATCACCATAGAGCAGAACGGCCCTCACTGTGGCCCTGTATGCACGGTCTTTCAGACGGAGGCAAACTCCCTTCTGTCGCCAAAGATGCCGCAGCTTCAACAAGGTAGCTCTGGCTTTTGCAATGCGTGACCTGACGTCAGTTTCTATGCGCCCATCATTGCTGATGCAGCTGCCAAGATAAGTAAAACGATCAACCACGCGTTTCAAACTCTACCGAGCGGTCGCAAAAAAAGTGTCCTCCTGCGTTATTCCCCCTGAAATCTTTGGATTTATTCTCACAGTGACCTACGTACTATCATTCGATTGGGCTCCGCGAGCTCCTCATACCACTGTTCACCTTTTGGACCTGTCATTCCTGGATCAGCAGCAAACTGCTTCTGCAATTTCGAAGT